ATGGCTTCAAACTACAAGAATGGAGATTCCATCTGAACTTGAGGAAGAACTTCTTGACTGTGAGAGCTGTTCATCAGTCGAACTCTCTGCCCCGGAGTGTGGTGGAGGCTTCTTCTTTGGAAGCATTTAAACAGAGGCTGGATGGCTGTCTGTCAGGGGTGCTTTGAATGCAATATTCCTTCTTCTAGGCAGGGGGTTGGACTGGATGGCACATGAGATCTCTTCCAACTCTATGATTCTATGACTCAATGATTCCAATTTAATGTATTATTTATATGTAATTGCTGCATTTATTATCTTGTATGTGGAGGCATTGAATTGTTGCCGGCTGTAAGCTGCCCTGAGTCACCCTGCGGGGGTTGAGAAGAGCAGGGTACAAATGTTTGAAATAAACAAATAATAAAATAAATTTGTAGATGTCGACCTTAGAGTTGTCTTGAAGGGCCTAGAGATTCCTGGTGAGGTGTTCTCTAAGATTAAAAAAAACTATTTTATGCATGTTTTTTCCACTTTCATGGGCGTTCTGTGCTCCTAGGCCCAGTAAATGTGGAGGACAGATTGTATTCCTAAGAAACAAGGTGTCTGTGGTATATGCACCTTGTTTACAAGGTTACAAATGTTCCGCCAGCACTACTACCTTCTTAGATAACCTACATGTTTATCTACAGTCAAAAGAAGGAAGGGGGATTCCTAGTTTCCACTGTTCTCAGAGAGATTGTAGCAAGCAAGATTTAAAGGCACAAAATGGGGGCTTCATTTTCTGTGCAGATCTCTGTTGCCAGACCTATTGTATGAAATGCTGTACATGGCTATTTGGCATGCGCACAGCAACTGGATTGTTAACAATGGACAATAGGGGAAGAGCAGCAAAGGAATTGATGCAAACAATGTTTGTATTGTATTGGTCTTTTTTCAGTCTTATTTAACCACATGGAATATTTGCAGTACATTTTAATGAGGTTTAAGCCTTGGCTTGTCTCCATCTATTCCTTTATAGCATTTACTGAAAATTGTCTGTGCACTACAAGTGAGAAACCATAAAGGTCTAGTGCCCTAATATTTGCATTGCCTACAGGTAATACCACCTTGGAATGGTGGGAGGAAAATGATGGGCTTCATTTCACTTCAAATCATTTTTACAGTGTGTACCATGTTGAGATGTGGTTTCAGAAGAGCTTTTAAAAGGAAGTATTTGGATTAGAGTCATTGGGACATTGATTCCATTTACTACAAGCTATAGAGCCAATACATCACCCTGCTAACATAAAAACACATGCTCAGCTTCACCCACATTATGGCTACTCTGAAGCCAGGAAACATTTTTTAATAACCATGATGGTATTACCAGCTGTTAATGAAAAGGGCTGCAATATATAATAGTGGAAAGCATATATACTCTCTGTCTTATGATCTGCAAAGGAAAGAGATATAAAATATATAGTGCTTAGATCCAGATTCTTCAAACCCATGCCATAAATCTTTTCTTCCTAAGCACTGTTAGACTGAAGCTGTACCAGTTTCAAACTCAACCAATTTGAATCCCTTGTATCTCAAACTAAAAAGATAATGTATAAGCAGCCTGGCAGTTTGTACTGAGTAAGACTTCTCAGAATCACCACCAGTCAAATTAGAGACCCATTCACACTACATAACTATAGTCCTAAAATATCACACTAACTGCCAACCTTCAGAGGAAGTTGTCTCTCAGGACATCAATGTGTGGGGACAGGACTATTTAGCTCATACTTGGAATTCTGTGAATTATATTACAAGCGGTAATAAAGCTTTCCAACATAAGGATTTTTTTTCAAAAAAATCACTTTCAGAGCTATTGGTGGCTACCACTGAAGTGATATATATATAGAGAGAGATTAGTTACAGCAATGCAAACAGCATGCTTCTTTGTACTAGAAAGATGAGGGAAATGAATGGGAGTAAGTTCTTGTACTCCCATTGCTAGGCTTCTCAAAAGCATCTGGTTGGCTTCCATGTGAACAGAAAACAAGTATTTCTTGAGAGACAAACTTAGTAGAAGTTGGTTCTTTGGCTTATCTTGCCCAGCAAAACAGTAATAAGCCAGAATTTGTTTTAGGGTCAACTATCTGATGATTTAAACAAAAATTGATGGTGAAGATTTCTAAAATTGTATTTCCAAATTTGAGCAAGCATTAGAATGGCCTTAACTAAAACTTTCCTTGCTGGGTCTATAAGTTACAAGAAGCAAGCCACTTTATATATTCTTATTGCACATAGTGAGTGATGAGCAGCAACTCGGGCTTACTGTGATGTGCAGGCATGTACCATCTACGATTCAAAGATTCAAAATAATTATCACCACTACCTGAAATGGCAGATTGTGTACTACTTGGTACCTTAGTTTTTTGATGTACAGTTCCTAATCTCTCCTTTCTTACTCAGATCATAACCTTGGCCAGGAAGCAGAACTCTAAAGGAAGAAGTAACCCTAAAATTGCAGCAGAATGTTTCTGAGATGTAAACTGGAGAGAATAATTAGCCAGTCAGCTGATTTGCTATGCCGATAATGATCCAATGTTTTGTGTGTTTGGTTAGAAAAGTGAAGAAAAGCATATTAGATTTAAATTGATAATTTAATCAAACTGGAATGGGTGACATTTTCTCCTCTGCCTCATTTTAATAAATTGTCTATAGATCCTGATTTACTAGGGAGATGTTAAATAAAAAGGAGAGCACATACTAATCTTACAGAGTACATAGTATTGTATCTCTTATTGCCTCCATTTTTGTGCCATGTAATGAAGAACCTGTTTAGGACAAAAAAAGTTTTGCAGAATGGAATGTGTGGACAAACATTGACCTGGTTTCTTGGTTCTCTGCAACATTTCTTCTTCTCCTTCTTGGAGCTTCACTGTGCTATTTTAACGTTGGAAAATGAAATGTAATCACACAGAATTGGTGTACCTTGGAAGTGGAAACATCCAAGAATCCTAAGAGAAGTCATTTGCCTGTCTTCTGCAATACTAGTATTCTCTCTAAATTGAACTTTGGCAAGTCCAGTAGAACACAAACATTCTTCTGTGGCATTTTATAATTGGAGAAGGACTGCCACATGATTGCCCTTTATTTGCACAACAGGGGAAAGAGGGCAGGCTGCCAAAGTAATCATACTCAACACAGCATCCTAATTCTCTGCATGTGGGTTTCATAAACTGTTAACCTTTGTCCACATCTTTGAGGAATGCTGACTTCCAGGCCCATTGGTACTGAGGAAAGAATACTACTAAATATAGATCGCTGGGATCAGTAACAGGAGGGGATATGTTCTGATTGATAATTTTCCACATGATATCACTCAGCCTTCATATTGATCCACAGAGTCTCTTGTTGAGATTCTCTCTTTACATATTTGGCTTGATTTCAATTGAAAGCCACCTCAAGACATCATGGGGTGTGCTTTTGATGGATAAATGTTGCATTTTGTTTAATAGTATAGAGTATAATACTTACAAATAGGTATGAAATATTAATGCTTTACAGAAGAGCAGTATTATTTTTCTGTGGATAAGAGCCATATCTCAGTTATATGGTGCATGTTGGATATAAGTAACCTACCATGTACAAACAATCCAGATATTTTCTGTCTGAATTTCTAGTAATCTGCTCTCAATTCATTGTAGAACAGAAGGAGAAAACCTGTAACTCCCCAGAAGTTGGTAAACAGTGATTCCTTCATATGTTCTCTTCATTGTCTATGTTGACAAAGACTGATGGTAGTTGGAGTTTAACAATATCTACATTATCACAGCTTCTGATGTAGGCACACCCACCCAACCTACCAATCAGTTGAATACCCTCATCTAGATAATTTCTTCTCAGCTTCTTAAAATCACTGAATAAAAGACTAGACTTATTGCTAGTCAGTGCTATTCAAAGCTTCCAGGAAAGACAGAAACATCTAAACAAAAATATAATGTAAAGGCCCCATGGATAGCAAAATAGAAATTATTTGAGTGAAATAACTCATTGCAGGTACTTTATTGCATCCTAGCATTTGAAATATTGCCCCCTTCCAACCATCACCACTTATTTCTGGTATTTGTACGCCGTCTCCTCTCTACCCTCAAAGGGAGACTCAGGACGGTTTACATTAGTAACGGTGCAAGACCGCTACATCACGTTTCTTTTCACGGACAAAACAGAGCCACCATTGGGTTGTGTTGCTGGTTGGGGCAAGCAATTTGATTTAGATAAGGAATTTACAAATATATTTCCCATAATTAACAAATATATTTCCTATATTTGTTGGAATCTGGCTGAGAATGACATCTATCTTCATGTCAGTACCATAGTCCATATGTATGTTAGCTTTTTTCATAATTAGGAGAAAGAAAAAGTGAATTCTGGTATGACCAATTTCAATTTTTGTACTATAACTCCTATTAGCCTTAGACAACATAGACAGTGATGATAGATTATGGGAGTTGCAGTTCAAACATATATGGGGAAGAGCACAGGTGTCTATCTCAACCTAGGCGTTGTTTAAATTTATCATGATATTCAACTTTCAGTTAAAATACTGAGAAATTACACACCTCACTTATGCCACTGTGGATAGTGACATTTCAAAATTGGCTATTTCACAGTAGCAATGATATTTGTGTGTGTTTATGTATCTTTGTAAATTAATATAAACACAAGCTCTTGTTTTCAAATGTCTGTGTTAATAACACTTGGTTATTGTGCCCTGTGACTTTTCTTTCAGGTCCTCTGCGGAGCAGATTTTTATAGTTTTATATTCTACCCCATTGCAAATCCCATAAGTCCATAGCTTACAGACTTTTATCTCCAAAGAGAGGTATTGCCAACAAAGGTATTTTGTCCTATGTCATGCTGATCCACTTTGATACCCAACATCTAGGGTTTTTTTTTCTATTGTAAAGTTCATTCTTGAGCCTTCAAAAGAACACATGCCTGTTGGGATCCAATTTATATCAAACAATGACCTCATTTGTCTCCCACAGGAAAATATGCAAGTTATGCAAATGCAGCCAGGAAGATCACAGCCTAAGCTCTGATGCAGAAGACGATCGGAAAATTGGCCGCCTGCTCTCTGATTCGAAATACTCCTCACTAACTGCCCGGGTGAAAGGAGGTGATGGAGCCCGCATCTATAAAAGAAACCGTATGATTATCACTAATCCTATAGTGTCTCGGAAAGATCCAACTTTTGACACTGTTACATACGAATGGGCACCACCTGGACTGACGCAGAAGTTGGTAAGTTTCCTTTCCAAAATTCATATAGAATCATAGAGTTGGAACAGACCACCAGAACCAACCAATTCAGTTCCTTACTATGCAGAAATACACAGCCAAAGCACTTCTGATGTATATCCAGCTAACTTCTGTTTAAAAACTTGCAGAGAAGGAGTATCTGCCACATTCTGAGGTGGTGTGTTTCACTATTGAACATCTGTTATAATAAGTAAGTTTTTCCCCTGATGTTTGGCCTTATCATCAATATGATGTTCTTTCAAATATTTAAACATGGCTATCATGTTATCTCTTGTCTTCTGTAAGCAAAACATTTCCAGGTCCTCAAGTTGCTCTTCGTAGGACTGGGCTTCCATACATAAGGCTCCAGAGTATCTTGGTCTAATGCAGGACTGGGCAAAGAGTGGTCCTCCAGTTGTTGCTGAATGATATATACCATTAGCAAACTGTTAATGTTTAGGAATGTTGGGTTCAGCAACATCTGCAGGGCTGTACTTGCCAGCCCAAGTATTTAGAGTGTATTCTTGCTAGTCTATCTCTTCCTTGTCTCTCTTGAAAACATTTCACAAACAGCCATGAAGCTCAGTTAAAAGAGCTTGAAATCAGAAAACAGACATTATCAGCATTATTATAACATCAGGAGAGAATGCTTCTATAACATGGCCATATAGCCCGAAAAACCTAAAACAACCCATTATTATAATGGCTATTGTTTGTCTTTGGCTTACATCAGGAGTGATGATGCCAAAATGCATAGACAAGAAAGGTCAATAAGAGACACGTTACGTAAGAAAGCACAGTTCTAGAATTGCTTTAGATGACCTTCTAAAGTTACTGCTCATCTCAAATATGCATGTTTGCGATGGTTCATTGTCACTTGAAAATATTTCAGTTTGGATTCTTTGGACATCTGTCAATCTCTTGTGGCATGCTCTGATCTCAAATAAGTTGCTTAGTTCTTACCCTTGAAAAGAGGGCAGGTGTACATTTCCAAACCAGTCCAAGAGTGGGCAAGTACTCTTGGGAAATAGTGTGGCGTTCTGAGACTGACTAATATGTGGAATCATTTGACAGATCTGGGAGCTGAATGTTAAGTAGGACAAGAATCTGCAGCACTCAATTATAAATGTCCCAGCACCTGGTTGTAAAGCTAAACCCCTATTTACTTACGTTGCACGTCATGAAAATGTCTCTGTAATTCCTTTCTACAGTTTGTTTTGTGAAGTAGAAAGCAGCAGATTACTTTGATATGTACAGAACAGTAACCCCCCCCCCCCCAGTTCTTAATTCAGTGGGGGTTTTTTAATTTTTGAATCAACACCCTAATTTGTAGTACTCACAGCTTTGATGTGTGCAATCGTATGGGATTAGGAATGATAGTTCTTATATTCAAATACACATGATAACATCTGATAACAACATTGGATTCATCTTTGCATGAGACTATTATTTAATCAATATGTTTTGGACTTCAGCTTCCAGGATTACTGACCATTGGCCAAGCTGGCTGGGGCTTCTGGCAACTGAAAGTCAAAAGCAGTGGAGGACAAAAGTTAGAGAAACCTACCTGAGAATATAGCTTAATCGGTACCACAGGTTTTGTCACTCACCATGTTTCACAGATCAGTTACAATTATTGGGGGGGGGGGTTATATTTAGAAAATGCATTCAATACAGGCACATGATTTGTTTTTGGACTGCAAATTTCAGAGTCCCCTTACTAGCTGCAGAGTTCTGGGTTTTTGTCAGAAAGTTACTTTTTCAAGTTCTTAGAACAATCTGCTCTGCTCCGGAATGGTGTGTGGAGAAATCTTGCATTGAATGGTTTCCCATTGTGTGCTTTCCACAAGATTCCTTCTCATTACATCCTGAATCAGACATTAAATTGCTGTCTTTCAGTTGTCACTTCTTACTTAAATTCTCTTTAGAATTTCTGTGTTTATTTCAGATATCCCCAAGCTACTTGCACATAGTAGATTCATGTGATGCAGAATTCAAGGTCTCATGTTCTTAAGTGTAGAGACAAATTAAAGTTTTTCTTGATAACTTTAATTATAACAATTTATTGTCAACATTTATTATTTATGGGGAGGGGATATATATGTCTTTAGTGAGTAATTTTTCCTTATCCTGTGATCCAGTAACTATCTTTATAACATATGTCAATTTTGGCATTTCAGAACAGATAAGTGGAAGTAAAAATTAGCCATGCTGGTCTATGTAGAAAAATCAAAAATCACAGTTCAGAAATATTTTTTGAGACTAACAGAAATGCTACATGGATTTAATGGAAGCAGCGTTTCACCTTTCATACATGCATCATGGATGTACATGTTATGTTTAGAATATTGACTAAGGCATGGTCAACCAGTGTTATTTCTCCCTTGTTTATCTCTTATAATGTCTTAACAGTTCAGTTCATATTGAGTTTGTCTGATCTTGGCAATTCTCATGGGAGGAATACTTACTGACACAAAATCATATCACATTTATTCAGCCAAGTTTATTCATGCAGAATGATGGAAGCTTTCATACCCAGCATTTCAGGCTGATGAGCTCATGTAAGTCAAAGTATAATGCTTCATAAGCAAAGTTGAAGACCTAGCCAAGTATCCCGTACGACGGGTGTTAGCAGGACCATTAAAGACTGTGACTTTGGAAAAGAGTCCAAACCCTTGCCTATCTTCCTTGCCATCAGCTTGGAGTTTAATAGATTCCCAAATCAGGTCAAGCATTCACATCTTTGCTCAGTATCTGGACTTGGCTAACCCAATTATGAGAACACATGGAAATGTATTCAAGATATCTGGAATACATTTAGATTACAAATGTGAAAGAATTCAATGACTTGAACTGATTTAGTTATGCACTCTGATATCTACGTTAACATGTGTATTTTAAATAGGATAATCTTTTCACCTTCAAGCTGAGTTAAGATGACTCCTAAGCCAGTTCCCAGAACTGTGCTACATACCAAGAAAGAGATTTGGAAATGCAAACACAACACAGATAGTTGAAAATTCATTACCAAGCACGTGTTCAAAACTATATAATGCTTCATGTCTTAGACAAAACTCTAGTTAAAGACTTTCATTAAACCACAGGATTGAAAAGATTAGTTTGAAGTTTTCTCATTTGTAATGAGAAATGAGATAGTCCCCTCCAGAAATGCTTCATGACTAAGATTTTTCACATGTTGTACCTTTTTGTGAAAATTCAATTTTTCTGTAAATTCTACAAAAAAAAGAGTTCTTCAAGAAGTTTCCTCACTTTTTAAAATTCTTTTTTTATTAAGAATTTCAAAAACTAATTACATCACTTTTCTACATAGTCACCTTGCATTTTTCCCAGCATCCTACCAACTTTTTAATGCCATCAGCAAAAAAATGTTTTTGGTTGCGCATTTAGCCACTGATGCACCACTGCTTTCACATCATTACATAAAAATCTTCTTTCCCCCAAAGCTTCTTTAAGCAGTCCAGAAAGGGAGAAATCAGATGGTGCTAAATCCAAAATGTAAAATGGATGTTCCATAACCTCCCAGTTTAATTACCTGGTGGTTTCCAATGTGTGGGCTGCAGTGTAGAGGCAGAAGTTCATACAACAGTATAATTCCCTTTGATAGATTTCCTCTTCTTCTAGAGCCGACTGTGGGTTTCAGTTCTCTCTGAAACATGTCACAAGATGTTGCACTTGTAACAGTTGTTTCACATTCTTGTGAGATTTTGAGAATAGATCATTGAGAGCCCGAGGAGACAAAAGAGAACTTTATCCCCATACTGAGTGCACATTCAGAGACAAATTTGTCTTCCTGAATTTCAGAGGATTGGATTTCAGAGGTAGGAACCAGCAAAACCATCTCTAAGTTTTTCTAGCCTTTATAAAAAGTATATTAAATTTATGAGTTCACCATTAGTCAACATAAGTGTGCACAAACATAAACTATGCAAATGAAATGCTTGTAAAACTAATACTTGTATCTCACAGTTCTTACAGAAGGAGATAGCATGTTGCAAGATATACTCAACTATATAATGACTATATTGTTCAGACAAATGGATTAGACACTACCAGGGTCATTTACCAGAAATCCAGTTCTAATGATAAAAAAGAACAGAAGGGTAGCTAGTGTGTCCTTGATGGGTAATAAAGTGCCCTCTTGTCCTTGTCCTTCCATTAGTCCCAGTCAGCCTAGTCAGTGTGAAGAATGTTGGAGGCTGTAGTCAGTGGCATAATCAGGAATGCACTTTGTCTAAGCATAACTTAGATAATGGGTCTAAAGGAAAGAGAAATTAATGAAACTATTTTAATGGATTTGGTGATTTTCTAATACTGGGGGTACTTATAAATGCTGCCAGAAGTATGGAATGCAGGCAGGCAGGGCTAAGAGTATAGAAGAAACTAGGACACAATGTGGTTTATGAATCTGATATCAAGATCTTATAACAGAGGTACAGGAAACAAGAACAGCCAGCATGGTGTAATGTATTGCTGAAGGCTTTCATGGCCAGAATCACTGGGTTGTTGCAGGTTTTTTGGGCTGTATGGACATATTCTAGAAGCACTCTCTCCTGATGTTCCACCTGCATCTATACCAGGCATCCTCAGAGGTTGTGAGGTCTGACGGAAACTAGGAAAATTGGGTTTATATATCTGTATAAAGTCCAGGGTGAAAGAAAGAATTCTTGTCTGTTGGAGCTAGGTGTGAATGTTTCATTTGGCCACCTTTGATTAGCATTTGATGGCCTGACAGGTATATAAACCCAATTTTCCTAGTTTCCAACAGACCTCACAACCTCTGAGGATGCCTGTCATAGATGCAGACAAAATGTCAGGAAAGAATATTTCTAGAACATGGCCATACAGTCCAAAAAGTCTACAAACAACACATGGTGTGGTGGTTTGGGTGTTGGACTAGGAATCCAAGAGACCAAGATTTAAATCCCCAATCAGCCAAGAAGACTGGGTGATCTTGGACAAATCGGGCTCTCCGCTTCAGAGGA